TCAATTTTTATCATTGTTTGCACAGGCTCATATTGTGGGGGTTTGAATTGAACTGGAGGACTTTTGACGTAGGATTACGTCTTTCGGCAACATATTGGGGGTGCTATTTCAAAAGACCAAAATCGACCGCGTTACGAAAAGGGATCAGGATTTGACTACTTATAACTTTGTCAATAGCGGATGGATATTTATTTTCAACAAGCCAATCGATTGGAATGTCATCTACGAATCTGCTCAAATGAACATTTATCAATTTTCAATAGGTCACTGCTGTTGTTATAATAATGAAAATTATCAACGATTGATTGCAAAAAGCACATTCCCTAACACGGATTTTAAAACCGAATTCACTCCGGTCTCACCGAACGGTGTTTATTCAATACGTGTGGTGAGTGGTGGTGTCCGATCGTCATCATCATCAGCAGCAGCAGCAGTGCTTTCGACGCGAGCACAAGCACGAGCCTGCAGCCCACTGAGCGGTCCATTCACCGAACAAGGAGGAAGAAGTTGCACCACTACTGAACGGATTCAGCAGCTCGTCGTGAGCCGCTGTGGGCCATCTATGCCAAGCGCGTCACCCTCTTTCCAAACAACATACAGCTCGTCAGCCTCAGCCGTGTTTAACACCCTAATAGCTCAGCATTACTAAACCATTACGACCAAACGGCATACATTATTGTTGTTTAAGAGTTAATTTGCGTTGAACGTTCGCTCGTCTTGCTGCCAGCCAAAGCTCATCGATAACTTACCCAGCAATCAAACGTTTGTGGTCAAATGCGTAACAGTATTAAAGTGGTACATACAAATTCTCACAATGACCGAATACCACATGACCATGTCAATTAGCCAGAAACGCTTCAAATTAAGGTAAAGCTTTCTCTAGGATGCTAGAAAAAAGCAACAAAAACTCGAATTTATATATATATAATATGAATATGAATATCTCGCGATTGGAAAAATTTAACAAAGAAATTCCTCCAATCAATTTTAGCTTTTTTTTTTATTATCTTGGGGAAATTGATTTAATTTCGACCTAATTTGGGCCCCATAAATTCAGAAATCGACAAAATTTTCAAATTGACCAGAAATATCCAGTAGTACCGTCCCAATGACGCGTTCATCCGTTCATCTAGATAAAATTACATAGTTGAAGATGCTAATTTCAAATAACAGACTGTAGTGGTAATTTTTATACGATAGATGGAGTAGATGGAAGCATAGAGTTGATAGTTCCGTTAGGGGTCGGTTTTCATCTCTTTTTGCCAGTGGTGGCGGGGGGGGTATACCCCTCACCATCCCTCTCCAAAGGGGGAGTTTGGTATAGAGAGATGAAAAAACCGATTTGTACCTTCCTTAAAAGTTGTCCTAGCTCTCTATTCTAATATCTATATGCAATCTTCACACTGCCGTACTCTAACGGAACTATCAACTCTATGCTTTCATCTACTCCATCTATCGTATAAAAATTACCACTACAGTCTGTTATTTGAAATTAGCATCTTCAACTATGTAAATCGTTGACTTCACGTAGAAGTAATACTAAAACATATAGTCAAAGTAGATAAAATTGATAAATAGCAGATTTTTAGCGATGGGCCCAATCTTAGATCCATAGGTCAACATTATAGCCATTTCCCCTATGAATACTCAAAAATTCCGTACGTTTTATGCACGAAAATGCGTAATTTGTCATCAGAAAACGAGGCGTTTCCGTGATAGGAGAAATTGGTTTCCCTAGCACAGTCGCCGAGTATTGATACCGAGCACTGAACATGCCAGACGGTACCTATCTTTATGCCTTTTGATGAAAATTTTAAGCCCCTCATATTAAGAGAATTATTAAGCCAAAACAAATTTTTTTTGCTGCCTAATTCTCTCAATAGAAGGGGCTTAAAATTTGCATCAAAAAGTATAAACGAATAAACGTCCGGTATGCTCAGTTTCTGTGATTGATGTATTTTCCCTAATACATATTTCATTTCCGCACCGCTATCTTCTCCAAGAACATCGAGGAAAAAATTCCACAGCATTGTTCTAAACTGGCTTCCAAGCTTCTACCCCATCGGTCCTTTTAAAACCACAAATGACTGATAAAAGAGTTCAAGTAAGAGCTTCTATTCAAGACATATCGTCCAGGAGACCGACAGAGCACTTCAAAAACAGAACTCTCACATTGCTTTCGAATTTCAACCTTTCGAACTTTTTCACTGATAAAGAGTTAAGAAATCAATTTAATATTTACTATGCTTTGCTGAGACATAAAAACTACCTTTCGCAATCCTACGTCAAATCTACGGACGTTTCTTGGATACAACCTATAACTTTTTTTGCTTCTCAAGTATTTTCATCAATGCGACCATTTTCCTGATCTTTAATTCTGTTTTTCCGTTCTTGATTTTTAAATTCATATTCATATTTTTGTTGTACCCTGACCAATGAAAAGCATACCTCTTCTATGATTGACATTTTCACCCTCTTTTAACACCCATTATCATTATCTACTGATTCGAGCACTGTAATATATGTTGAATTATATGCATCTGAAAATGGTTCTCAATAAAACTTGGACCGAAAGTCCGTTTCACAATTCCCAAAATTCGTAAACATAATTTGACGTATTTTAACCGTTGCCAACTTGTCCAGCATATATTTCAGTATACCAAACAAATATTTTTTTCCTAGATTTGTTTTCTGTCGATCTTGTTTTCCGTGCTGAGCACCGATGCTACCGACGCCATGGAGGCAGCTCTCACACCTGGACCCTACTTATCGACTCATCAACTCATGAACCGGAGACCAACGGCTTTACTTCCCTTCCGAAGGAAGGCGTGATCTGAAATGTTATGCCTCAGAACATCCCGGCGGTGCCGACAGGGATTGAATCCAGGCCTGCTGGGGTGAGAGGTAATCACGCATACCATTACACCACCGGTGCCGCTGAAATCAAACAAATATAGCAACATAGAAAATCCCAAAAAACGTTTTACTATTTTGGCTAGATTTCTGTTCTAGGTGCAATAAATTCTAATTTTACGAAATTTTTATTATTTTTAGCTTTTGCCCTCATGCATGATGATAACAGCAATTTTAAAACCACCTTATATTTCTTTGATTTTTTAGATTTTTTTTAATAAGTTGCATTAAATTTGGTTGAAAATTGAGATCACACGAATTAAGTGTACTCTTCTGTGCGATTGGGTAAAATTAACAGATATATGGGACAAAGATTTTGCAAATGAGATAAATTTTAATATTACTTCTAATTTCAGGATTTTTAACGATGCTCATTCATACATAAGTAACTAGTTGAAATTTACCGAGATTTATGAGTAAAAACAAATTTCCAGAAAGTCTGAATAATTCTGAATACTTTATGTTTTTTTTCAGCTGAGGCCTTTATCAAATGTTATGCGAATATTTCAAGCATACTATCCAGCTCCTAAGGCATCCCTTTTAGCTACTTCACTACCAAATAATCATCGGAAAATGCTTTTTCCAAACTTACCATTGAATGTCCATTTTACCTCCTTGCCTGTTTACCTTCACCTCCAAAAGCAAACTAAACAAGAAAGCACTTTGAGATTAAATTAAAAATGATCAAAATTATTAAACTTCTAGGTTAAAATCTGTCCGTAACACCAATGAACGTTAGTAAACCCCGCATTATGTCGAACAACGAGATGCCCAGAATACACTTATTTTCCCCATAAATAACGTCATTCTCCTTAGGCTGCCCATTTTACCCCTACGCTTTCACTTTTCAGCAAACGTTCTTGAGGCATGTGGAATCTCTTACCCATTTGTGGGTGCGTTGGTTTTGTTGTTTTCCCCGCAAAACCTTGTGTTTATTTATGCTAGTATTGAGCCAGTGTCTGGTATGTTGATAGAGAGAAAAGGAAGCTAGCATAAACAGATCGATTGGTTGCCAGTGATCAATCAAGGAAGCAATCAGCGGCCTGGTGGGTGGTTTTTTTACGACTCTATTCGTCAATTAAAAGCTAATAAGACTGGTTCACAGTGTTTTATTGTGAATTGGTGTAATCTGTTATCACAGACAATGACAATCCCAACCGACGCAGAATTCGGGAACCAAATAATAATGAGGTATGTTACAAACTACAAATGTACAGTTCATATTGTTGCTACTGTATTTAAGTTTTGAAATTACGCTTTCATAATGTCTGTGACATCTGGGCCGTCTTAACTACCCTTGGGGCCCCTGGTCTACCACTGAATAAACTAAATCTTTTTAAGACTCCTCACTCTTGCGAATTTGTTAATAGAAGAGTTGATATCAATTATCGTTGATAGTTTGTACTCAAAATTCATGATCAGTAACCAATAAAGTCTGGTTCATAGCATCCCTTAACTTATGTTTCACTCATTTTAATCTATGATGAGCAGAGGTTGATCATCATTCAAATAAATATCCTGAGGACTATTTTCACATTTGGGAAAACCAATTTCTCAAATAGCAATTTTGGTTTTATCACAGCCTTGTTGCCCATGATTATAGAATGCTTGACCTTCATTAAACTTGCAATACTACATGGGTTTCTTCCATTTATCAATAATTAGCAAAACTTAATTTTTTGAAACATACTATTGAGAAGGATATTGTTTATGGCTCGGAGCCGGGGCCCTGGCTTTAGCCCACCATCGCCCTATCGTTAATACGACACAGCAAGACCTACATACTGGTTCCAATGCGTGCACTATTGACACAGACTAAATGCCAAAACACGAAACCCTACGCATCCCTACGGTTGAGTAAACTAACCGTGTCTAATCGAATCGACACCCAAGATCAAACGGAGTAATATCCAGTTTCATTAGCCAAGTAAACATACCATTACGTGTGACATATATTTGCCAGAGTACAAACATATTCCATCCATAAAAAGTAGAATGCGCAGTCGTCGCCGTTGCCGTCGTTTTCGTAGGTACCTAAGCCTGTCGTAAAAAATGTATATGCTCGCCGCTTGCCAAATATTACCAACCTATCGGATATAGTGCGTACTTGAACTCCTCCTGCGTTTCAAAGCACACGAACGGCATGACAGGTTCCGAGAGATTGTTTTGCATAAAACAGTATCGGTTCCTGGTGTACAGTTTGTCATCGTAAATGATGCTGCCATTCTGAAAAAAATGAAAATGAAATCGAAAGACACGGAGATTAATTACCAGTGGAGTGGAGGTGGTGACCTGAAAATGATTTAAACAGTATGTAAGTTTGTAGGTTAAGATTAACGAGCGCCATATGCAAACATAAACGATTATCCAAAAATATTATTCAAAGTGTATCCTTCGAGTGTCCAAATATGAAATTTGCAATCAAGAACTTCCACATAATGTTCAACTTTGGCCATCAGAAATACAAGAATTTTAAATGTATGGCATTTGGTCGATCGACTGAAGTATGATAGTGGTTTGCTTTTAACGAATTCGTTTATTTTTGGAACTGATTTCAATCCCGATAAAAAAAAAACGAATTACCTATTGTATTTTCCTCTGACCATTATTTCCACACTCTTATCAGAGATCTAATGCAGCTATCTTTCCATATATGCGGATTCCATGTACAGTCAACTCTCCACAATTCGATATTCTATAACTCGATATTTTCAATAACTCGATGAACTCGGTGGTTCCTTCATTTTTCCATGTATCTTAATCTCCATAAGTCGATATTTCCACAAGTCGATGTTCGATGGTAGTGTTGTTTTGATTCTATAACGCGATACGTCAAAGCCAGAGCTTCTGAACTGTGTGATTTTGATATGAAAATCAAAGAGACATTGAAAACATTATTGCTGGTGGACATTAGACCTGTTCATTTTAACTGAAATGTTCGGGATGCACCGGGTCCACCATGATTACTGTGATGTTGCATCGTGGTTTACGTTCTCTTTAATTCTAACCATTCCACACGGGAAAAAATCCGATTTCCTAAATGCGAAAAATGACTCATGATTTCATGAACAAAGCGTATTTTCATGTTATGAAAATACACCATGAATAATATTCATGATATCATGAGCAACTTTTGCGTAACGCAGCAAACATTCCCAAAATCATGAATCATCCGATTTCAAATCATGATCTAAAATTCATGGGTTTAACTTTTACCAAAAAAATGTAAAAAGAATAGAATAAAGCATCAGACTGGATTCGAACCAAGAACCTTGAGATTATTAAACCCATTCTTTGACCACTAGACTATCAGTACTTGTATAAGACGGAAGACAAAAGGCGTATAAGAGATACCTATGTAGTGCGGTTTATGAACACGGTTTGCCAAGTACGTGTAACGCTTGTAGCGGCCTTGATTCCACTGCATTATGAAATTATGAATTTCCATGACGAAATCATGAATCATTGTTATGATTTCATGGGATGACAAGTTTTTCCATTTCATGATTTCTTATTCATGAAAATGGAATCGGATTTGTTTCCGTGCAGACATTGCTCGGTTTCCCCCTGTGAAAATGGAGCTTTAACCTTTCGAACGATGCACTTTACATTATTATTCTTAAAATCTCGATTATTGGTGGCTAAATCGAAAATATATGATATCATTGGTAACTATGACCCTTGTTACAATTTCTCTGAATCGAGAGAGGAAACTTGTATGTGGATTACTCCTGCTCCAACTACTATCTCACCTCGATAGCTCCTGGGCTAAAGGTTCTACCAGGTGTCCACAGACTCGGGATTAGAGACTACGAGATTTCACGACTTCAACATATGGCATTCATACATTCATATAATAGCCGAAACTTACTTGAGAAAATAATACGATGCGGTAACCATAGTATAACGGCATAAGACATACAACTCACAAATAAAGATCAATGACGTATTGTATTCAGGTACTTCTCCTAACGTCCCTATCCATCCTAACCTTTCATTTTCAGGGGCGTCCCCCTTAATCCTACACCTCGCAAGTATGCCGCTGAGTGCCGCTTCCGTCTGCTGTTGGACAACGCTTTCCAATGGCGTGGTCGATCGAACGCCTTTGAAAATCTTCAAGGCTGGGCCTAGCCGCCCCCGACGTAGTCGAGACCGTCACCGACCAGTGCTTCTCGGTACGAACTGCAAAGAAACTAAAATGCAGAAGAAAAGGCCCTTGGAAGGCCTTTTCTGTTCGCGTTTTGGTGATCACAAACGTCTGTGCAGTTTTGTAGCCTCGATGTGTATTCGCACTCGAGGAAATCTGCGTGTATAGGTGATCTCGTGATATCGTTAGCGTCAGCGAGTGATGGCGATTTGAGCTTTTCGTGCGTCGGAGATCCTCGACGAGATGAGGGATGCCACCCACGATTCCTGTTCTAGTGTGAATCTGGAATTCTCGCTTACGCCGAACGATTGTTTTCGCCGTCAGTGCGTCGTACCGAGGCCTTACAGTTTGCTACCCTCGTGGTGAGCTCCTTCCAGTGGCTAGATTGGCGTAGTTCCACTGTTGGCTCTCGTCGATTGGTCTCGGATGTTGAATCCAGTGGGTGTTCGGAATTTTCCTGTGCTACGGTCCGATATTTTCGACGCACAAAACGACACACGTTCTAACGTGCAGCCGACTGCTAGCAAGCGACTACTTTTTCTGACCGGATATTATTATCCAATCCGAGAGCTGGTGGCGATCGCAGCTGATGGGAGTCGCAAAGTTTGCGTTTTGGTTGCCGCTTCGCTTGCAAAATGCTCATAATGGTTACGCCCTTCCGAGCATGCGTGAGATGTCAAATATTTTTAATTTACAATATGGTCCACTTCCCGAATTTTCATATGCTTCTGAAAAGACGCAACAGTAATACTAACCGGTGGAAACTAACGATTTAACATTGGCCACTTTTTGACTAGCCTATTGGTCGCAAGCAAATCGATTAACGTACCCCATTCTAGTCGAAATTCTAGTACTAAACTATTCTTATACTACAAATTTTTAAAGAATAATGAGGGGTTCGTGGATTTTCCTAGGTTTCAAGGGATGCATCAATTAGCTTGGGACCGAAGAGAGTACTAGAGCAGAGCCAAAAATTTGAGCACGTTTCTTCGGGACCTGCTGAGTTTAGAGCTACCTCTATGATTATACTTCGTTTAGGCAACAGCGTAATGCAATATGATATCAAGAAAGCCTATACAATGTGATATCAGCTATAGTCGGAACGTACCATTAGCTTAAAGGCAATCCGAACAATTAAATGCAGAGGTAGATTATATCTTTATATGTAACTGACAGGAAGCAAACAGTCAACACGCTAAGAAACGTTAACTTAAATTAGGGTAATTGATTTACACGGCCATTCAGAAACAGTATTAGCTTTCCCATGCAATCTTACACACCTACGCTGACTTCCTTGACATTATACTCCGTTTAGACTAATATTGATATCACGTAATATAATATTATATCACGATGGCCTATATTACGTGACATCAGTTATAATAGTAACGTACTATTAGCTTAAAGGTGAACCGAACAAATAAAGGCAAAGGCAGATTATATCTTCCATCCCTCTTTTCATACAAGATTGGCAACTGACAGGAAGCAACTTGTCAACATGCTAAGAAACGTTAACCCAAATTGGGGTAATCGATTTACACGGCCACTGAGAATGACTCAGAAAGAGTTCCACTCAAATGTATCGAGAAGTTTCTAAAAACTGTGGGAACTCAGCGCTGAGTACCTGCAGATTTTAGTTAGCTACTAGCATCTTCCATCAAAACAACAACGATAAAGTAAAGTGTTGTGAACTCAACCTGGTCTGGAAAGGTGTGAAATAGAAGGGCTGAATGTATTTTTTTTTCTTTTGGTTTGTTTTCCGTCGATCTTGTTTTCCGTGCTGAGCACCAATGCTACCGACGCCAGGAAGGCAGCTCCCACACCTGGACCCTACCTATCAACCCATCAACTCATGAACCGGGGACCAACGGCTTTACTTCCCTTCCGAAGGAAGGCGTGATCAGAGATGTTATGCCTCAGAACATCCCGGTGGCGCCGACTGGGATTGAACCCAGGCCTGCTGGGTTGAGAGGTAATCACGCTTACCACTACACCACCTACACCGCTTAGGGGCTGAATATATTGGTGCATTTCGTTTTTCACTCGGCTTGCATTCCGCTTCGCACGATTCGTTTTTACAGTTCGCTCAATCAACCTTGTAGTGACGTCATAACGCTTGATTTGACAGGATAGGAAATTTTATATGGATTAGAGAATGTCTGTATGTTAACAAAAGATATTAATTTTCTTCCATTGAATGTTGAGGTAATTTATTGAGTATTGTATTATCACACTATATACAATAATAATAAATCTCAATCCTAGATGCTCAACAAATCTCACACTAGCGAATCAATCTTCGAAAAGTCTTCTTTCATTTCTCGTATCCACTTGCATCGCGCATCATCTTTTTGCAGGTAATCTTCAGAATTGTCATCAATCTTGTTTCCTGCATCAGAGTCGACCCTTTCGCCTGCCGGTGAGTTTTTGCTCATTTTCAAAGGGAAGAGTTATCATAAAAATTTAAAAAAACACCTTCTTCTTCGTCTTCTTCTTTCCTATACATAACGCCGGTCTCTGTTTGCAATCTAGTGCCAATCACCGACGGACATCGATTGCCAGCCATTGACGGCAATCGAATGCGCAGGAAGGCAGCTTCCACACCTGCGTAGTATATCGCACCCATTCAAACACACATGGGAAGATGTGATGTTTATGCCTCAGAAAAATCCCACATACCTCGGCTGGGATTGCACCCAGACGCATTGGAGTGAGAAAGCAGTCACGCATACTACTACACCACCGGTGCCGGCCATTGAAAACGCCAGCTAACATTTCCCGGGGACTTTACAAAAGCGTATAATCAAGCGCAATTATCATGTAAACATATTTTGGATTTGTTTTACTTCATATTTCACAAAGATGCTTTCGAGTGTTATTTATTTATTTATTTGTAATTCATCTGACATATGTGGTCTTATTGAATATGAGAATACATTTTCAAAACACCTACAAAATTGACAAACTAGTAATTCTATTTTTAAAACGACCAGAAGTTTCACCGAACTCAAAGAGATCCTCCACCACCGAAAAAGCTCGAATCATCGACGATATTGGTTCATTATATCCAAACAAAGTA